ATAGATTTGCACTATCCACTGCTCCAGTCCTCAGTTCAGTCACCGATGTTTGAGAAGTCCAGGTTCAAATCCAGGGTTCTTTAAACCCTCAAGCCTGCAAACATTCTGATCTGGAGTTTTAGTTTGGTTTTCTCCAGCAATCCTGCCAGGGGAGCCAGGTTCGGCGGAGCTGCCTCTGTTCAGAGGGTAACAAGTATTTCATGTCACCTTTGGTCAAGTGAGTAGCACCTTACGCCACCACTTTAGTACAGGAATTTGAGGAATAAGGTCTGAATAAGGAGGAATGGAAAATACCAGTTCATGGCATGTTTTTTTACCATCATGACTAAATTTTTGTCATTTGCTGTGACTTTGCTGATGCTAATTAAAAATAGAGGGTAACTTCTGAAAATATTGCATTAATTATTGGTTATATGCTTTCTTCAAGGACATCTCTCATTTTTAACATCGCATGTCTACTCAGTGCTCATGGTAGTGAGGGACAAATGGCACCACTCATCTGGACTGTGGCTGACTCCAGCCAACATGCAAACTTCCCACAGGTGTTTCTGCTAAAACACACATCACTATGGGTTCTCATCACTCCTGGTGTTTTCATCCTGAATATTCCTACAATCAAGGATGGCCTCTCCGGTAAATTGACATCAACTCTACAGCAGTTGTGACATGGTGGAAGAGAGCAAAATGTAATCAGCATTAGTTCTACATATATCACAAATCATTACGTGACTGGATATACGGAGGTTTTCATCCATAAGAGTTATAAAATCCAAATCTCTTACAAAACTTGGTGGCAGTTTTGGAGGTCCTAATGTCTTTTTCTACTCTGTCCTTACCACAGGATAAATCTAATTGATAAAATTAAAAATAAAATGTCCATTTGACTGCAATGATTGACAAAGATCAAGTTAGTGCAGGACATTTTAATCTCTGTAAGAAACAGTATGCCAATACTGCTTTCCAGGTGCATGTATACAAGCCACTGTTCTTCATCTGTCTGTACCTCACATTGCATATTTACTCTTAAGTATCATAAACTGGGCTTTAGGCAGCTGTGGGAGAAAAAAAAAAAAGAGATGGTTCTTTTCCACTCCTCACTTAATGGGCATTTGCTCTCATCAAAAATACCTAGTTCAGTGCATCTTTCACGGTGGTTGTTCACCTCACACACTGTTGACCTGCACTGGTTGCTAAATGCAGAGTCAGTGAACAGGAATGGTACATAGTGCTGCTCGCTCTGGGGACCAACTGAAGGAGGAGCAGAGCACCCGCAGTTGCAACCAAAGTTGCATGGATGGCCGCATTTTATACATCACCACTAGTACTCACACGACATCGTGTTATACTTACAATGAGAAGTGAAATGAATTAGTTAATCATCATACAAAACTCCAGTGACTTGGGTTGAGAAGTATTATAGTCTATTTCTTTAAATTTAGGGGCGGTTAAAAGACTTAGTGGTTGAGAGATAATTTGAGGAGAAAGTGCATCCATTACAGTTTAAAATCAGCCCTTTTCAGGAACAGCTACACAGGAGCAGATGACACCATGTTCAACAGGGAGAAGACTACCAAGCCTCTGCAAGGTAATGGCACAGATGGAAAAGCCTCCCGAGACTGTCATTATGCCACTGTACAAACACAGCACAAGAGACAAGACCCCTGTATAGCTCAGTAGCCAAATAGTCAACATTGTCTGATAATATAGCCTCAACCTAATTTTTTTTTTTTGTAAGCTAAACAGCAACAACAGTCTTTCCTTCATCTTTTTCATCATATGCAGGCCTGAAGGGAGAAATGGGTATTTAGGGGGACAGGAATAAAAACATTCTGTGAGCAATCCTCTTGCAGAAAAGCTGGGACCAAAGAGCAGGACAAAGAGGGAGCAGCAACCGGCCGGGATTCGGGGAGAGGCCCCAGGGTGCAGCGTTGCTCTGCAGGGACACGGACGAAGGAGCTGAAACCTGACGCAGGGCAGGGAGGAGCAGCAAAGCCCCAAGCAGCTGGCACACGGCAGGGATGGGGACGACCAGGGCCTCCGAAGCCTGGCTGAGCCGGTGTGGAGAAGGGCAGTCACTTCCAATATTGCAGGGAAAAACTGTAACAGATTTAGTAATGTCTTGGACATATGGGATGGGAGAAGGGACTCGAGCGAGACAGGCAAGCTGAAGAGGAAGGCTCTTCTGCGGTGAACGGGATGGGACTATCAGGCAAAAGCTGAGGCTGCAACACGGCTCACGATTGCGCCATGCACTGCTCACAAAAGGAACATCCCAACACTCGGGCCAGGAATTATCATCTCGGTCACTGCAGCAATTTTACAATATTCCTTGGCTACTTCTATTTGGCTTTTAAGCTCACCCTTGACAAGCGACTCACCTCAGTCTTGCTTCTAGTGAGATATTACCAGAAAGTGGGGGATCTAATGCTTCTGAGGGAAGAAACAAGTGTTTCCATTTCCCCTTTTTATCTTGTGATTTCATGCATCTTCTTTGCTGTTGTCATACATTCAAAGCAGTATTCATTGTGGTGGAGCACACAGCATTTGCAATAAAATATTTTCTGTGATCAGATACCTCAGCTTCATTTTTTCCAGTTAATTATCCATTAGTAAATAACCCAATAATTACCCATTTGGTAAATAACGCACTATTTGCTTCATGTGCTTTAGAAGACAGAAGGTGTTACAAAAAACTGTCAAAAGTTCATCGAAGGAGACCTTTTCTAAAACTGCCAGTCTTTAACATCAGAGACCATGAGCTTTTTTTTCCTATACTTGTTTGATAAACACAGTACCCCAGATACCAGGAAATATTATTTTAACCACCCAGAAAGCAATATGGTGTTACTGTGCAACCACAAACAAAGAGACCCTGTCAGATGCCTCCTGAGTGTTCTCTGCAGAATTCACAGCTGGAGTTAGGAAGGGACTTGTGCTGCCTGCCAAGGCACATATTAACTGAATTGTTTTCAAACAAATGCAGTCAGGATCCATAGCTGATAATGAAGGTTCCGAGAAAAAGTTACTCCATGGCAAACTCCAGGACAATTCTTCACTCTAATTTCTAGCTTGTCTATGCACAGTGTTACCTCCAGCCCAATCTTACCTCTGCTATCTTCACGCCACCGGCCACTGCCTAGCCTACGGCAAGACACGGCCAAACCGAGGCAAAGCCCCCTTGGTGCCAGCTGCTCCCCTGTCACCACCTCTGCTTTTCTGAGGGATTCTGAAACTTCTTAGCGCATTGAGAAAACTACATCATTTTCCATGGCATAAATTATTGCTCCATGTGAAAAGACTGTCAGAAAGCTGACTCTTGAAAAAAAGTAGTCACCAAGAAAGATAAATGCAATTAAATTTTTTTCCCCCCACCTAATTCTTCCTAGGACATAGTCACTTTTATATGCATGTGTTCAAGTCTGCTCCTTTCACTGCTATTGTGCTGGTGATAATCATACTAAAATACTACAGTCCCTCTTCAGGGAACAATAAATGCATTCTGCTCAAGTAAAGTATTTGAGACCATCTTTAAAAATAAGCATTTTCCCAAACCTGTGTGTATTCAGCACTGTGCACAGTGCAAGCTCAGTGGTAACAGACCCCAGTGATACAGCAGTCTGCCATCTCTTGGTTACATGTAGTGATCACAGCACAAACCACAGCTTTATTTAAGCATTAGCTTAAAAAAAAAAAGTCATTTGTCTGTACACAGCCTTGCTTCGTTTTAATTCCAAGGTTGCCTTAAAACCTATGTAGTTAAACCAGATGCAGGCTTTAAGCCTAACTGATACGATACTCTTAAGCCACCCGAAGAGTATTCCTGCAATGGATATGCATCCAATTAGCAGACCACATTCTAAGTTGATCTAGTTCAGAAAAAAACCCAAACCCTGTGTTTGCTGAAGTCACCAGCATTCAGTAGATCGATGCAGATGGCCATGCTTCTGGTCCTAGCTGAGGCCCCAAGCTAGCCACCCTCGAAGGGTTGGGTTAGTTCGTGCCCATGACTTTGGCTCGCATGAAGAGCAAGGCAGATGCCCGGCCGCAGCAGGAGCCCAGTGGTGCCTCTCCTGCACGAACCGCAGGGAGCTGGTGTGCCGCCGAGCTGCAGGGTAGACCGGGTCTCGTGTAAAGAAGAGAAAACGTATTTGTGTATATTTGAAGCCTAAACTGAAATGTTTATCTGAGCATCGTACACACTGCAGCCAAAACAATACAATATATAACAGACACGCTGCCCTTGCCAGGGAACTCCTTGACAGGGAAAAGCAAGTGCCCAAATGCAACCAAATACTGCTGAGGGGGTGTCCTGGCTTCGCAGGGGTACTGTGCGTTACCTGTGCCATCACATTAGGAACAACGGCAAAAAAGAAAAATGCCCCCCCCCCCCCCCCCCAACATCCGCTGACCC